ATGCACCCCAAATCCACTCATCATGCTGTCCCAGTGTGGCTGGGGACATGAGAGAGTAAATGCCCCAGCAGAGCATGCTATTTAAGATCACACTGTCACAAGAGGCAAGGGTCAGTAGCCTGGTGGCCAACCTCTCACAGTCACTGCCCTGATGACCTCTCCATGGAAGGTTGTGGTCCCAGTGCAGGTCCCCAGCACTGTGAGTGAAAGGTCAGTGGCCTCACCAGCAGCGGGAGGCAGGCCGGTCCTGTGAGGGTTAATCTGCCAGTCCAGCCATCACAGGGGTCACCGTGATGTACAAGAAGTTGAGCATCCCGGTCCCCCATGGCTGGTCTGCTAATTACATTTGCAATTATAAACATCACAACCTCCCTGAGCAGGGACCAGGCCACGCCATGGAGCTGGGCAACCAGATGTAATCCCGCCCCAGGCTGCCCTGGTCATACCCTGAGACCCCAGGGCTGGCTGAAACTTGTGAACCCCTCCTCCAAGGAATGACCACGGCTGTGTTAATTCTCCAGGGGCTTGAGTTTGCTGAGCCTGAGAAAGGGAAGCACCCCAGGCCAAGCCCTATCAAGAGTCACCAACACAGACTCCCTAAAAAGATCTTGGATTTATCCCTAGAAATCAGCAAGTGGCCTCACAAATAGGAAGAATGTTCAGGAAGCCTCCAGGCTCAGGTCTGCCAGTTTTAGCCCATTCTCAACTTGTGCCCCTCCATCTGCAGACCCTGCACTCGATGGCCCCTCCAAGGGCCACGTACACTCGAGGGACCGTAGAGAACACTCAAGGTTGAACATTCCAGCGGAGCTGACATGCAGTCAAGAGCCACCAGACTCCAAGACAGTAGCCCCCAGGGGGGCTGTGAGGAGTGCTGGCCACTTCTGGACAGCGCTCCTGGTCATGAGGGAAAAGCACAGAGCTCCACACAAAATGGGGATATTCAGGGCGGGTCAGCCTTCACTTCAAAGAAGTGGATTATGGTTTAAATAAGTATCAACTATTCCCGCCCTTAAATTTGAAACCACAAAGAATTTTACTCATTTTGAAGAGGTCACTTCAAGTACTCAGGGAGACAGGTTCAAGAAAGAGGTGCTGGAGAGAGAGTTCAAAAGCACCCTGTCTGTGGTCTGCCTGCGGAATTCCCTCTCCTTCTGTACCCTGCTCGTCCACCTGGCCAACTCCAGAGCAGGCCCACGCTCTCCAGGACTGTCTCCGATATCCTTCCTTTGGCCTGCTAGAGTTTTGCAGATCTTTGCTCAAAAGAAGCAAGGCATTTTTGCAGAAGACGGAGGAAAACAAACTTTTTCCATGAGTTTAGCTTCTCTCGAAAAATCATTTGTCAAAAAGTCCAATTATAGGAATGTGAACGGATCAGGCAGGATGGAAGGGGGAGAGCCCCCTGAGTGAGGGCCAGGGGCACTCGGAGAAGGCAGGCTGTGACATGAAATCTCCATCACAGCCATCTCCCTCCAAGTGATCCCCCTGAAAGTCCCCTCTGTCCCTTTTCTAGGTCTAAATGGAATATCTATTGATTACTCCAAATCAATAGAATGAAAAGATTCCTGTTTGGTGGGTCAGATTGTTTCTCCTTCTTCTTCAGAGACATCTTTTCAGATATCCGAATTATTGGTCAAATAGAGGATCGTTTCCAAAATGAAAGGCGCTGGGAAATAATCAACTCGGAGAGGAAATTTCCAGGGATGTCAGGATCTCACTGAGCTGGAAAGGCCTTCGTGGGGACTGGGGCCCTGCAACACGGACCTAATGTTTTTCCCATTTATGGCCCCAGGGCTGAGCAGCTCCCACCCCCTAACACCCATCCTCTCCCTCAGCAATCCACACCTCCAGAAGGGTGGCAGACACATAAAGGTTTGTTTTTTAAAACCCCCCCCCTTGGAAAATGGAGACTGATGTCTTCACTCTGATTTATTTTTAAATGTACCATTAAAAATTAATTTCCCCCTTTGTTTTTCTCTGGGTCACTGATCCTGAATTACCATGTGGCATTCTTTCCTATGTGTGAACCCACATATTTTACCTTCAGGACACAGTTTGTTCTTTTGTTTCCCTAACAACAGCAAAGTGGTCATCAGACAGTGATGAGGTCCCCGCCCCTCCTCTGGGTCTGGTCTGCAGCCGCTCCCCCGCGTCATGGGTACCTCCGCACACAGGCACGCGCAGGCAGGCACACGCACTGCCACTCTGGCTGATTATATATGTACATAAAATATTGATTAGAAAGGGTAATGGAGTCACCTACAGAATTGGCTACGGGAGAAGGAAAATGAAGGAGAGGCAGGCAGGGAGGTCCGCGGGTGTCTCTGTGTGTTCATTTCTCACCTGGGAAGGTGAGAGCGACACTCAGAATTAAAAACCTCTCCTGTGTGTCAGCAGGCCAGAGGAGGGCTGGAGGGTTCCTTCTCTCTGAACTCTGGTCCCCGTGCCCTTGGGTTTTCTCCAGTCCAGGAATGCCATTGAATCTGTACCGGCAAAAACTATGTGTACAGAGCACAAGAACCTCCTGTCATCCATCCAACGGTCCTTCCAACAAACCAAAGAATGGCCCCCCTCTATTTTGTTACCTTGCTACCGATAGCTCTAATGCTAACCTGTCAGGAAGGTCTGAAAGATGCCTCAGTGGACACCAGCCTCTGACCTCCACAAGCTTGACCTTGTGGATGGTGCACCCCTGTACTAGGGCAGATGGAGACCCTGGCGGGAGGCACGCATCTGTACATGGGGCCAGCTCGCTAATGCTTGAGGCTGCGGCTTAGCAGGTCCTGGGCTTTGAGAACTGGCATCTCACAGAGATGCTTCATTCCTCAGGGGTGGCATGTATATTTTTTTGGCTTTCCTCATGGAGTAAGAAGCTATTTTTTTTTTTTTTTTGCAAAGAAATCAGGAAGTGTGGGGAATCCAAATCACAGGTTCCGTTCATAAATGATTTCCACTTCAAATCTTTCCCAGACACCAAGGACCTCGCTTTCTCGTCCCCTTTCTCCCCTAACATGTTTCTCCTCAAACTAAAGCCAGGGTTCTTGTCAACTCCAGGAAGTACCCAGACACCAAGGCTTCCATCTCTCCTGGCTATCCTGATCTACACCAAATAATGTACTCCCCCCCCCCACTAAAAATTTTCATATTGATTGACTATGACTTGGAGTCAGGGACAAACACATAGATATTTCGAGCTCCATTAAAGAAGTCACCTCTGGAGAGAGGGAGTTTAAATAATTTAAATATTCAATATTTGCTATACTTGGTAATTTTATGTGAGGAAATGCCCCTCTAAACATCAAACATTGTTCACAGCCTCACTTACCCCTCCCCCTTTTCTGTGGCATCTCTCAGTCCCTTAGGAAGGAACAGTGCAAGGCAGGATCTGACACCACCCCCCCACACCCCCCAAGCTGGGATCAGTGTAACCTTTAAGGAGAATGAAAAGCCCCTTTATGGGAATCAGACTCCGTTACAATCAAGGATTCCCCTCATCTCCCAGCCCAATGTCTTCTTCCGACACAGTCAAAATTCTTGTGGCATCTAAAGGACTCTCTGCCGGGGGAAATCCTAAAACTGAAAAGGTCAGCATGGGGTCGGGACAGTCTGGTCATCAACACATGATGCGGCTGTGAAGTTGCTTCCTCTGCCACGCGTGGCCCAGCGCGGGTGGAAGTAATCTGCGCTTCGAGGTGCGGGGTTAGGCCCTTCCTGGAGCCCCACATAGTCCGGGGTATTTATTTCAGAGATACAGTCGTGGTTCTTTGGCAGGGGTTGCTGGGGGCAGGGGACGAATGGTACAAAAATGAAAAGATGGTAGCACCAAAGAAACAGCGATAGTTGAGTTTGCTTTGGAAAACTGGAGGAAGAGCCCAAAGTTTCGCAGGAAAGCTGTCCGTGAGGATCTAGAGTTTTCATCTTTTATTTTCGTCTTTATTTTTAAGCCATCCGAGGGACCCCTCTGCACGCGCGCACACCCAGATGCGGGGACCCTAGCCCCAGGCGCAATGGGACACGGAGCGCGGGAGCCGAGAGCCAGGCAGGTGCTTTGGCAGGAAGGGTAGCGACCTCGGAGGGCGCGGGGAGGGAAAGCGCGGGTGGCTATAGCGTGCAACCCGGGAGAGCGCGGGCAGGACGCGGGGGCAGGCACCGCCGCTGGTGGGACTCAGTTCTCCACTTTACCATCGTCGCTCGGGTGCTGGGGAGCTGCGTTCCCAGGAAGGAGCCGCCAGCAGCCGTCCGAGACTCTAGAACAACCTAAGGTTCTGGCGCGGTGAGCGCCGAGCGGCCGAGGGCAGAGAAATCAAGCTGTCCGCGGGTCCAGCTTACTCCCAAACCTTGAACTAACTTTGCCGGGTTTCAGTGCCGACCCCGCTACCCACTCCTGGCGGGATACAGGCCTTGCAGGGCGGCGTGTGCCCGGGACCGCGCCGCCGCACCCCGGGGCTCCTTGGAACCGCCGTCTCGTGCGCACCCTCGGGGCGCCCCACTGGGACCGCAGGGTGAGCGCGCCACTGGCCTCCTGCGTTTCCAAGCTGTCCCGGCACGTTCGATTTTTTTTTTCCTCCCTTGCGGAAATCATGTTTGGTCCCCAGGATGGAAATAAAAATCAAAGCACCGCGGGGAGGCTTTCACGGACGGGACAGAACATCCTAGCGGCCACGTCCCTGCACCTGTTCTGGGCTTCCGCCTCCCCTTCACAGAAACTCAAAAAATATTTTGTCACCATGGAACAAGATCAGAGAGTGATGAGAAAGCGCTACTCTTGCCAAAAGTGAGGGTTCGTCAAAGGGGATGCGGGAAAAGTTAGCGGCGGGTTTAAGCCTGAAAGAGAAACCCAGGAAGAGTGCGGCTTTCCCCCTCCTACGTCCCCCGGGTGCCCCCCAGAAGTCCCTGCCACTTCAAGAATGTGTAGGAGAGGAACTGCGACACCCAGGACAGAGACAGCCGGGCGGGCGGATGGATGAACACACAGACCGACCGAATAACAGGGCACCTACTGGTTGTGGTAGCCGAGGGGGTCCGGGATGCAGAGTTCGGACACGTCCATCAGTCCCGTTTTAGCATTCCCAGGAGGTCGAGAAAGGCGGCGGGGAAGTCACGCGGAAGACGAGTGAAGGGCACCGGCGAGGTGCGGGTCCGGTCAGGGGCACAATGAGCGGGAGAAGGCAGAGTGGGAGGAAGCGGCCGCGGCCGGGGAGCGGGAGGCCGAGAGCCGTGCGCGCACAGCCCCGCGCTCCCACTCATCCGCACGCTGCGAGCGAGCGGGTAGAGGGGATGCGAAGCCGTGGAGAAGGCTGGGGCACCCGACACTTGCAGCCCACTAACCCTACTGTAGCTTTAAGGCTGAGAGACTGATGTATGGTTTGGCTCCGATTGGCTATCTCTCAGGGGCTGGACTTAAAGTGACAGAATCAAGCTGGGTGGGGGGAGGGGGGCCAGCCAGAGCGACTTCAATGGAATAAGACGCTCGCGCGGACGTGCAAGGTCCCCACCTCCTGAGGAGCAGGAGGACTGGATTTTAGAGCCCCAAGGCTTTCCCTCTTGCAGTAAAGGAGGAAAAAAAAACTATCTGGTGGGACTGGGGTGGGGGGAGAGTTGTTGCCTCCATGCCCCCGTCCCCACCGTCCCTTTCTTTTAACTGGCCGGCCTAGCAAACTCACCTCTCTGCCTCTTGGAATGGATTTGTTTTCCAAATTAAAAATGAGTCACATTTCTCCGCCCACGCACCAAGGAGAAGACGCCAGTGCCTTCGAAATTCACAGCCTCGAACCTCGTATCTGGTGCCCAAATGTACAAAGGGTCAGGCGGGCAGGTGAGCCCCAGCCCTAGAGGAGGAGGGGAACGGACGCCCTTCCGGGCTCCTATCACACCGGGGCCAGGCAATTCAGAACCGCTGACCTTAGGGCAGGAAGCAGGGCGCAATCATAAAATGCTCTCTGGATGTGAAAAGTGAGGCTTCTACTCTTTGGCAATTCTCTGTGATGTGCCGGAGCACAGGCGCCCGCACATAAATCCCTGTCTGCTTAGGAAAATGCCATTGTGGTTAAATCCCCCAACCTAACCTGCCACATCCACTCCCAGGCACAACTAGACACTTTCAGATACACACCTGAATCCCCAGCTAGGAACACACCTGCATCCCCCTCCGCTGCTCCCGCCACAAACCAGAATATTATGGGCTGCCCCTGAACCAAAATGAGCTATAAGTCAAGCCCCAACCCTTCTTGTGGGGCTTTTCATCTTTTGAGATGTGCCTGCCACAGAGATAATAATCAATTTGATGATTCAAATGAGTGAGGGGAGAGGAGTAGGTAGAGAATTATTTAAAAGGGGGCGGGGGAAGCCCTCAGGAGAGACCACCACCTTATTCTCCTATATTCTACAGGAGACAATGAGCAGTAGGGGGAAAGACATAATTTTATCATTAAAATAATGTCTAAATGGATGGTAACTGCAGGCAGTGTCCGTGCATTTCAGGAATAAAGCAGGGAGAGAGGGTTGTGGGAAGCCCCAGGAGGGGCTGGTCACTTGGGGAGGGGTTGGGGAATGGGAGCAGTGTCACAGATGATCTTCGACTTGGATAAATGTGTGCCCGAGTGGGCTGCGAAGGGAACTGAGATTTTTCATACATGTTGAAGTGAAGGAATGCGTGGGACTCTCCCTGCTCCAGGCTCAGGAAGGCATCTCACCGAGAGATGGATGGAGATGTCTACTCTGTCAGCAGATCCCCAGCGGCCTCAGATTTTTTTCCCCCAACACGAGTACTTTGTTAGAAAGAGGGGTGGGAAGGTGCTTTACCTTACCTGGCTTTTCTACATGACTCCCGTCTCTTGCCAAGGTCTCAGTGACCACTTTCTATGTCCTTTCTGCCCCTCAAAAGTCCGTTCTAGTACCCAGCAGCCAGGTGGCACTTTGTAAAATGACATCCAATGTTCCCTTGTTGCAGTTAGCAATGAGGTCCCAGTTTGGGCTACAAAGAAGGCCTCATGGAAAGGTTTCTGTGGGTCTCGTTGCATTTTTCCATAGACTGTGTCACACTCCCTCAAGCCATAGCCTTTGGCACCTGTCACCTAGAAACACCCTCCACCCTCTTTCTAGAACTTTCTGCTCTTCAGGTTGTTGATTGCAGTTTACACTCACATGTACATTGGCATTAGTGATCCCTCTGTTCCATGCACCCTGCTGGACTGTGAGCCCCATAGGGACTGACTGTTTTGTGCATTGGAGAATTCCCTGCACCGAACAGCACCTAATGCACAGCAGTTGTTGGATAAAGATTCTGCTTTTCCAGCCATGAAACTAGCAGGTTGGAGTTGATACCACAGCCAGCTGAGGGACAGGCTGTGGCCCGAGAAGGGACTTAGCCCCTGACAAGTCGTATGGGGTCAGTTACTCCTTGGAGACAGAGCACACCCAGTGAAGATAAAGACCTCTTTAGAATATGAAAAAAAAAAAAAAGACCATTGCACAGCCTGAAGCAGTGGGTTCACAGATGCTTGGGGTGAAGGAGGCTGGAGAAGAGGTCTCTGGTGGTTGGGGTCCTCTTCAGGCCTATGCCCAGCCAGCCATGCCCTGCTCTAACCCTGGGTCCCAGATCTTTGTCCTTAGCTCCACTGACAAGAATGAGCCTCCACTGGGCTAGGGGAGAGATGACCAGCAGACCTAGGCACCCTGGTGACATGATCCAAATTAGCAGGCCCAGGCTTCTCCTGTGACATTCCAGACAAACTTGGCCAGGTCACACTCCAGGCAAACTTGGCCAGGTCACACTCCATGCATGGGACCAGTCTCTCCCCAGCCTGTCCTCCACCAGCTCACCAAGGCGGCTGGGATTCCTTCCCCAAACCAGGGCAACATCTCTGGCTGGAGGGGTCACAGTGCGGGATTGTGCTGAGGACCCTGGGATCTGATCCCGGACTCCTGGATGTGACCTTGCCAAGGTCATCTCTTCTCCAGAAAGTAAAGGCGTGTAGGGGGCAGAGATGGGCAGGCAGAGCTCTTGGCTTCTTTCAAGCTTGACATGCACTCAACTCATCATGGTTTCCTGCTTCCTCTGTCCACCTGCTGTGGGAGCTACTAGGAATGCATCCCTAGCAACAGCTCTGAGCCGCCCCTTTACTTGTGCTGTACTCCTGGTGCCTCAGGTAGGCAAGACAGACCAAAGGGCATAGGAAAAATAGCATTAGACACTGATGGAAGAGGGTGTAAGGTGACAGCCACTCACTTTGTTTTTGTGAAAAACTCATTTAAAATAGATATTCATTGCACTCATAGAACAGAACAGCCAGGAGAGGATCAGGGTATTACAGAGGGTCCTCAACTTACATTGTTTGACATCATCTTTTTAACTTTGGGATGGTGCAAAAACCATATGAATTCAGAAGAAATCATAGTTTGCATTTTGAATTTGGATCCTTTCCCAGGCTAGAGAGATGCAGTGCAGTGCTCCCTCGAGATGCTGGGCAGTGGCAGCTCTTGGTTGGCCACAGGACTGAGAGGGAAGACAATAGTCAAGTTTGCTGTATTGCTCAGCTATGATGTTTGATGAGCTGGGTGTGTCTGACACTTTCAGCTTATGATGGTTTCATAGGGACACATCGCCATGGTGAATCAAAGGACACCTGTATTTAGAACTGACCAATCAAGAAATTTGCACCTTTCCCTGTGTGGTCAAGTGTCCTACTCAAGGTCATGCCGCGAATACAGTGTCAAAGCAGGCCATCTGTGTTCCCTGAATTTCTACTTATTCAACTTCTAAATCTCTGTAGACAGGTGTCTTCTCTTTCCCACCTCCTCCTTCCCCAAGTTCAAGCTCTTTCCTAAAGACTATGAAACCAAAGGAGAATAGTCCCAGTCAAGTCATGCTTCACCTGGGAGATAGTGAGGGCAAGGGCATCTATCCACGTCTTCCCTATGGTCCCCTGGGAGGAAAAAAGGAGGTGCTGGTAGGTGGAGACCAGTGTCATAATGTGTTGCCCTGCCATGTGCAGTGACCCCATGACGGGTTATTAGGAAACATGATCACACGCAGCACAGACCACTCTGTTCCTCAAGCCCATGGTTCCCTAGGGACCACAGACACCTAGAAGGTCATAGGCACATGGATCCACTATGACCAACCCCTGCCCATCATGGGCTGACTGAGTCCTGAGAGCGGCTGCCTGATGCCTGCGCCTGGATCCCGACCCATCTTTCCATGATCCGTGTAGCTGACCCAGCACGGCACCTCTAGCCAGGGGCCTGGTGAACACCTCCCCCCTTCACCGAGACAGGCTTTTGTTCTCTCTCCCCTCCCTGGAGGCAGCCTCCTCTGACACCAGTTATTTTTGCACACACCGGAAAAAAAAAGGCAGCAGCAAGTATTGGCTCTCTAGTTCTCAAACTCTCTCCTTCCAGGGGCATCTCAGGAACCAACAACACGAGGAGGATTTTTGCATCCTTCAAGCCAGAGAGCTCAGCAGGAGTTGGTGGACCCAGTTTTGGTCCTCAGCAGAGCAAAGGACCTGCTGACCTCATCAGTGAATAAGACCCACCAGGCGTGTCTGCCGGTCTGCCCTCTCCACTCCCTCAGTTCAGTGGATGTGGGAGCACGTTTTCTGGTTACACCATTCCCACTCTCCACCCCTCCCCAAGTTTCCAGGTGGGAATGAGGCCATTGAGAACACCCAAGGTAGGAAGCCACTTCTTACCACCAGCCCAAGGATGGGGGGATGCGTCCGTGGGACTGTCTGCCTCGCACACCAAGCTGGCTTCTGTTCCACCCCAAGTCCAGGAAGGCCATCCATTGACAGTCCACGATGACTAAGGTGGGCCTGGCCCACACAGTGAGTCTAACCTGAGCATCTCTGGGGACAATGCTCCATGGGCTCTAGGCCTGGGGAATGTCCCTGTCTATACAACTCTGTGGACCCACTGTTTTCTCACATGCTTGAATTTAGGGTGTAGAGTTATATCCCTGAGTGGTGGTCAGCAGACTGCCAGCCCATTGGCTGGCACTCATCCCAAGGATCATAATTAACTGATAACGCTAATACAATGTGAGTTTGTCCTCCATAATAGTCTCCTGCTGACAGATAAATGCTGCGGAAACATGATGGCTTTTCCTGAAACAGTAATGGGCCATTATTGGGGCAAGAAGGCTCATGTCCTATTAGCACTGCCACCACAACACCAAATAAAATACGAGGGGTCGTCTTGAGTGGATAAACGCTTGGGTTCCCTCCCACCACCGCCGTCATCCATTTCATTATCTGAGATCCCTGCCAGGGATCTTGAAATAACTTCCAGGTATTTCAAAGCTCCATGATTTATTTTGTCCACACCTCAAGAT